ATATACGCGATTTAAATCCGGAAAAATAGTTTCATTCCTATAAGATACTATTCTTTAAATAAAGCCGAATTGTGAATTGCTAAATGTACATTTTTTTGGATAGATTTTAAATTTTTTGGTTTTGTTTGAAAAAAGAAATATACGCGATTTTAATCCGGAAAAATAGTTTCATTTCCAGATTTCAAATATTTCCATATTTTATTTCATAAAAAATCTTAAGGCTGAATGTGTTCGTAACTCTTCCTTACAATTTTGTTTCTCTCATGACATGTCATGTCAACTCATGTGTGTGAGCTATTATCAAAACACAACATTTGCGACGTAAATTGCAAAGTCACCGCCGAATCGCAAAGACGTGACATAAAATTTTATATAACAAAAACATGTCGTATATTACAAAAATTAATCCAGATTATTGCTAAATCATGACGCTTAAATGTCTAACAGCGGCTCGGACTTAACGTGTTACCTTGTCTGTATACCTTTTTTTTATAATGCCAAGGGCGGAACGATCAAGTCGTGTGCCTAGTGGTATGCGACACGCCTGTCTATTTACAGTTGCAGCGCCACTCAGAGCTTTAAATAGCAAAGATTTTAGGGGCACTGCCGCAGCGACCGTCACGCTGAGACATAAGTTGACAAATCCCATGTAATTTCACCATACCTTTACTCTGCAAAACCGAAATGAAGTAATGCTCACATTACTGCTTGGTAGCAGAAACAGGTAAGGTTCTTCCCTAGATGAACTTTTTCACAAGTAGCTCTACCGCTAAAGACTGTTCTAGTAAAACAATGTACTATTACGGGCAATGTTAAAATGATTAACTTTCAGGCAAATTGATTGAGAGTCACCTTTCCTATTTCTATTTGTATTTCCTATTATTTATTTCCTATTTATTTATTAACTAATCTCTCAGGGTGACGGGCGCAGTGGCCGTGCCCCTCAGATCTTTGCGATATAAAGCTCTAAGTGGCACTGCAACTGTTATGGACAGGCGTGTAGCTTACTATCAGTCACTTGAGATTTAAAAAAAAACAGAGCTACAGATCAAGTCAGAAGACGTTGCGAATTCCTCTAAGTGTTTGTTACAGATCTTTTGTGTTAGAATTTTTCTCGGCATATATCGCTATAAGCGACACACGTGAAAAACCTACGAAGCTTCTCACTCAGCCGGTACGTAGCTACCAGAAACTAACGTGAGATGTCACATAATGAATGATGTCATAAAATCAATATCACTGTAAACAAATAAAAAACCAAAGCGTATATTCAAATGCCCCTGTAAATATCAATAGATAAGAAATACCAATGGATATTGCTATAACCGTTTACGTAGATAGATAGTGTCCGAAACAGCAATTAGGCTCATTATTTTCAATAACGTGTTGTCGAAAAATATTAGCTCATAAGTATAGTTATGAGTTTTATGAAATACAATTTCCTCGGTAACGACTTCACGATCATCTTAATAACACGGCGAGGTATAAGCGTTTCGCTTGAATATTCATTTCGGTTCATCATAATTTTGGTAGATAATTTGAAATTATCCAATCTGCGCGCTGGCTTTGCTTCGTCCCGATGAGACGCCCTACCCATGTGACTACACTTATCACGATTTATTGCTTCTCACGTTATTTCAATATTACAATCTAAATTTTCACACACACACAACCAATACTAATAATAACCTGCTGTTAGAAATACACCATAAATATTTATCTGTAAAATTCTTTAGTAACACACGTTCAAAACACAAAACATTTTTTTAATAATACCAAATGACCAGACGAACTAGTCTTGGGTCCGGTGGTAAATGACACGCCTATATAACAGTTGCAGTGCCTCTCGGAGCTTTAAATCGCAAAGATGACTGTAGAGCTCCTTGTGAAAGAGCTCGTCCAGGGAAATACTGCCACCTTTGTTACTTCTACCGCCAAGCAGTATAATGGTCACATCACTGTGTTCCGGTTGTGAAGGCTAAGAGTGCTGGTGAAATTACAGGCACAGGAGACTCATGTTTCAGGGTGACCGACGCAGTGCCGATACCCATAGATCTTTATGATTTAAAGCTCTGAGTATAACACTGCAACTGTTATAGGCAGGCGTATGGCTTACTACCAGGCGCACAACTTGTTCGTCTCGTCACGTGGTATTATATAAATAAAATCTGAAGGGCACTGCTACTACGCCCGTTATCTTGAGACAAAAGTTGACAAGATCCATATGTCTGTGTTTTCACCAAGCAACCATAGCCTTTAAAACCAGAACGCATTAATAAAGGTCACACATATCCGGGCCGTGGACGGGCCGTGCTCCGTCAGGGACTCAAAGAAATATCGTTGTGTATATTTTGTATGAACTCGTTCGCACATGTCCGTGTCCGGGCCGGGGCCGGGACGGGCCTGTAGTTCATACAAACTAGCACGTCCCGTCCACGTCCCGGGCACGGCCCGGATACGTGTGGATAGTCCTTTATGGTCACATTACCTACTGCTTGGCGGCAGAAATAGGTAAGGTGTCACAGTGCTTCTCTATACAAATTCTTTCACACGGCGCTCTACTGGTAATTAACATCTGAGTGTTATTAAATTTTGGCAATACATGCTTAACTAGACGTGTTTAAATAAATATATGTTACGAAGGTTGTTAGTTTTTTTAGTAGGCATTTGGTACGTGGCAGCCAACTAGCCGCATTTTATTACATTCTATCTAATACAATTAAATAATTAAGTAAGTAGCATTGAGCAAATTGGTACCTGCCCGACCTACTGCGCCAATAAAGATTGCTGCAATAAAGTAATCCGATCCACTTGGTCAATGATACATCCGGCCCTCTTTCGAAATCTTGTACCTCCTAAGGCAATAGAAACTCTTCCCGGAGTTGTGAATAGGAATCATTGAGAAAATGCAGATTATCTTCTTGATGGCTTTGAGAGGAGGAGGAGTTTGAGAAATAGGATTGATTCTTTGTGTTAAACATATCACACACATACCTACTGATCATTGAGCAATTTTCTAAACACTTACGGTTTGTCACCTGTACTATTCACACGTAGTACCTACGCTTAATACCAAAATAAAAGCCAATTCTCCTAAAGGCGGCGCGCTACTACCTGAGTCGATACTACAATTTTGTGCTCGCATTAGGTAATCTCGTTTTATTCCATCTCATATTTTTTATGACAAAAGATCTTCGTCATTTTTGACAAGGAAAAGGCCATCAACATTGTAATGCGGTGCGTGGCGCCGGCGTGGCGGCAGCGTCATCTATACTTTGATCCAATCCGGCGCGGCAAGGCCGACCTCAGTTGACGACCAATTACTAATATCACTCGGGCTCGGCCCGCGCCCAAATGGTGCATAATGCCTAGGGTAATTATGATTTCAGTGCCGTGCCGTGCCGTCCGTCGCCTCGCGCCGTCTCACATTGATTCTACCACTCAGCTCTCGTCTCCTAACACCATTATCTCCAAATTGCTTCGAAAATAGCCCGCGTAAAAGTGTAAGGTGTAGATTTTATGCCTTTTATTTCACGATCATTCATAGTAATGACAAGAATATTTTGATTGGTTCTCTGTTTTCATTTCGTATAATTGAAGCAATTAAATTGGTAGACTGTTATTGGTGCGGCATTAGTAAAGACGCCTCTATTTTCTTTCACTGCGAATATAACGAGACGAAATAAATTAAATATTTTTTTTATTGCCTTAGTCTCGGGTAACATTTGAGATAAGATTAACAACAGGACTTACTTACTTATTAGTCGGCCCGATAATATTCGTCGCCCATAAAACAATTCCGAGCAAATAGTCGCCAGCAAACGTAACTCATATTCTAGCTGTAAGTGCTCCGAGCCGTAATTTGATGGCGTTTTATTATTTTTTTATGGTAATCGTAATTGTCGCGGCTAATTGAGAGAGCGCGGCCATATTTACTGCGGCTCCGTAGATCGGACGATAGCGCCTGGGCCGCCCCATTATTTCTATTTGCTGGAATGACTCTGCCCCACATCTATCTACACTAATACATTAAGTTATATAAAATTTACATAATAAGTGAAACTTTTTCATGATAAAGATTCGTTACTGTCGATTAGCAGAACGTGTTGTTGATTTACTTTTATTTTCCATATTTTTTTTTCTTAAAATATACAATATATCTACAGAGATAGTATAGGTACTGTATAGTATACACACTAATTTCATGTTCAATTGTTTAACTTCAAAATTTTGAACGAGTACTAAAGTTTTGAGTTCAGTGCAACGCGACAGCTGCGCCAATCACAATGTAAAGGGCGTGGCTGGACCCCGCACCCCTTCGTCGACCCGTGTGATCCCGGATTATATTATTGCGGACAATAGGGCTTTTTTACCAGGCCCATTGTGCCCCATATTAGGGTGAAATATCCGGTCGGATGTTTAACTCACCTTTATTTTCATTCCGTCAAATGAACAGCGCCGAATGGATTACGGTTTCACGAACTAAAAGTGTGGGGAACATTGTGTTCCGATGAAAAATGCATCTGGAAATATAGCACATTACATAAATTACGTTCTCGATGAATATTAAACTACGTAAAGTTATGCAAAACTGCTCTACGTAAAAGTCGACACATCAAAGTTCTTTCAACAATTGTTTTAAATTTTTGCTTAGCACTTCACACAAATAACATTTATTAATTACGACGTTCATACCGCCCGCTGCCAGCCGCCGCCGGCAAGCAGTAGCGGTCAGGAGCTGTCACCCAGCCACCTAATTGTAAATACACTGCCCATAACCCGCTCGTAATTTATTTATGTTATTTCTAAGCGCCCCAGGCTCAGGTCGAACATCGCCGCATTAGTTTAGTTCTCATATAAATTAGACTATAAATCTGAGTCGACACTCAACTTCTTTCTCACGGTCTTCCTTTTTTCAATCGCGGTTGATAATTAAGCCTGAATTAAAATATCGTATTTTTTATTCAAAATAATTAACAATTCATTGTCTGTCTTTCCAGGAACACCCGAGCTTACGCGGCACGCCTCTGGCGATGCTTGCGGCACAATGCAATAAGCTGTCCAGTAAATCGCCGCCTCCACTGGCCGATGCGGCCGTGGGCAAAGGGTTCCACCCATGGAAGAAGAGTCCCGGGGCCCACTCGCCACCCGGCGCCGGCGCTACGCCGCGCTCGCAGCCTCCAGCTTGCGCTCCCTATCCTCGGGCGCCTACATCGTGTGCTGCAGCACCTTCCTACGGAAACGACCTTTACTTTCCCTCCTCCGGCGACCAGCTACTTGGAAAAAGTGAATCCAGTGCAAGTCTAGGCTCAATGTATTCACGACATCCGTACGAATCGTGGCCATTCAATGTAGGCAGTGGGGGCAGCAGTGGTGCTCTCAAAGCTGCTGAAATGGGCGGCGTGGGTGCTGTTGGTAGCACGTGGTGGGATGTGCACAGTGGTTGGCTAGATGTTGGAGGGCAAATGGCTAATTACGCTGGTCAAGATTACTCCCAACTTACCCATTCGTTGTCGGGAGGTGCTCATTTACTACCCCCAGCACCTCATCTCCTACAGGATGCTTACAAATCGGTATTACCAACACAAGGTTCATTTGGGCTTCATGCTCCAGGCTCACCAGCGCCACCAGCCCAGGCACCGTCACCTCGATCACAAAGGCGATATGCAGGTCGCGCCACTTGTGATTGTCCAAATTGTCAGGAAGCTGAAAGACTGGGTCCAGCAGGGGCACACCTCAGAAAGAAAAATATTCACAGTTGTCACATACCGGGCTGTGGCAAGGTATATGGGAAAACGTCACATTTAAAAGCTCATTTACGTTGGCATACTGGTGAGAGACCTTTCGTATGTAACTGGCTGTTCTGCGGTAAACGATTCACTCGCTCCGACGAACTGCAGCGACATTTACGCACCCATACCGGGGAGAAGCGATTCGCCTGTCCGGTGTGCAATAAACGGTTTATGAGGTCAGACCATCTTGCGAAACATGTTAAAACGCATAATGGTGGTAAGAAAGGCAGCTCGGACTCATGTTCAGATTCGGAGGAGAACAGTCAAGGCGAAGGTGGCGCAGGGCGAGGTTCCCCAGAGCATCCCCTGGACGTGAAACCGAGTACGCTGGTGTGACGGGGGCGCGCGGCGCTCGCCCCGCCGCACCACCTCTCGCCACTCCTGTGATACTGCTGCCGCCGCGCGCGCCAAGCCAACGACAAGAACGTTGTCGCCGCTGCCTGTACATAGCACACATATCAGTACATTGTATAGAAACGTGGACTTATATATCAAAGACATTACGGTGCTGTTTAAGACCGTTTATGTGGGACTCGAAAGTGTTGTACAGTTTAGATACTATTAAATATGTCTAATGATATTAATTATAGATAGAAATTGTATGGTAACATAATTATGTAAGTAGAATCACTGTCTTAGTCCAAAATTTCAGTTTGTTAATTTATTTTTAGTACCTCAGCAATCAACAGTATATAAGAAACATTTATTATAAATATTCTAACTGTGTCGGCACTTCCAAAACATTGCACATTAGTAACTTATATTTTTTTAATACAATACATGTCATTGAAATGCAGACGTGTTTCAAATTGTTAACTGAGTATTTAACAATTGTTAATCCTGCCTACCAGGTTTGCGCAATTGGCCGTTTAAACTGTTTCATAAGTAACACATGAAAAATTTTGTGTTATGTTTGTCACAGTGCCGATAAAATATTAATTTCACTTTTCAATAAACCGAGGTTTACGTAATGCATTTAATACATTGCTGTGTTATTATTAAAAAAGGAAAATTTTAAGTAATTATTATATCCTTCATCACAAAAGTAATGTATTAAAACCGTAAAACCTCTGTCATATCGCTAAATGTTAGCTTGCAAACTTAATTATAAAACTGTATGTATATTGTACAAAAATTGTGCGAATTAAAAATGCCTGAAATTGATTTTATAAAAATTGAAATATATTTTTTCCGAGTGGATTTATGCCTTTTTATTTCGAGAAAACAAATTGGTACCTAAACGTCAATGGCAAAAATGCGAGGGGCTCTATTTACAAATACGACCAAGGCTACATGCATGTGCTCATAGATAATTTTTTGAAGACGATTTATTTGGATTAACAAAATACAGGCAATAAACATACAAAAAGAATATCAGAGAATATTTAATCACTGTAGTCTACAAGTTAAATTACTGTTAAAAGTCTAAAACAAAAATTATATCGTAGTCTTGCGAATACTTCTGACCATAGATATATCTGACGACTTACGTAAAAATTAGTATGAATCAGTAAAGAGTACTAAAAAAACCGACCTCAAAAGTACGTGAAATTACATCTATTTGCCAAGGTTTACCGGAAAGTGAGCGAAAATTATTCATCCCCTGGTTTGCCACCTTTAGAGGTGACATATTTTCTTCAAATGTAAATGGGACCACTACTCAGGTACCCTCTTTCCAACAACAAAAAAAAAAGATTAATCATCCAAATTGGTTCACAAATTGGCCGGAGTTATCGCGTAACATACAATAAAAAAAACATACAGACGAATTGAAAACTTCTTCCTTGTCTGAAGTCGGTTAATCAGGTATTATTCACGTCGACCGATCTATAACTAGCTCTTGAGTTACCATGATATGCTATATCAAAGATATCAGAAACTACCCTAGACGTCTGTAAAGTTTTAATAAGACTAAATGCTAAATACCTATAATTCTAGGTACCTGATAGCTGGATATCGCACTGGTAATAGAATAGTGTATTAACTCCAAAAGTTAATGTATTCAGAATAGCTGAAAAACGAATTACTCAGTTCCCGTGAAAGATTAGTATAATTTATGTAAAGGTTAAAATTTATTAGACATCTAAACAACTCCTGCTTGCCAATTAGAAGTATATTTAAAAAATACAAGTAAAACATAATTTCATATTTTTGAGTAAGGACTGTTTTGTCTAGAAGTAGCTCACGAAACGTTTATCTCATTCTGGGTTAAGTAGATATATTTTAATGGTTTCTTACAATATTCTAACGACAATTTTATTTTATTTTATTGACGTGTAGAGAAACAAGTGTTATGTTCGGAAATGGTATAATCTTGAATTTCTCATATTTTTAGTTACTACGCTATTGTAATAGCAGTATCGTACTGCAATATGTGATAATAAAATAGAAATTTTAAGAAATGCATTGTGCTTGGTTTGTTTTTCTGATCCCCTCTGCAGATAGTGTTCAACGACAGCTTTTTATTCATGACGTTCATTCACAAACAAACTTAATGAATTTCTGTACTTATACTTACGTTGGCTTCATTAAATGACTTCTGCAGTTAGAAGCTCGTCACGGAATATGAACCTTGCTACGAGGGAGAAGAGTAAGTATTGTCTTGCTTTGGGAATTGATTACGTCATTTTTGGGATGGGAGTAATTTAGAGACGCCGCCGCAAAGAGGATCGTCGTAAAAAGCGAATTGAAACCACAAATAATGAGGGAGGCGAGGAGGGGAAAGGAAGGGGAATAGTCAATGGTAGTGAGTGTCGCCTTGCGGGTGGCCGCGAGCTCGTGCCATAAAAACCGAGCTCATCTGCAAGCCGCCGACTTCATTACTGAGAGGCTCGTGGCCTAGGTTAATCTCCGCTTTATTAATGGCGCTCAACGGTGGTCCCTGATGATCGTGGCTGACGCCGCTGCGACACTGATGTCTCTATCCGTTGGGATCATTTGTAACCTGTCAATTAATAACTGTATACATCTAGATATTAATATTAATGTAGTTTCCGTTATCGATAAGTATAAATAATATTACTCTAAACAGTACCAGTTTCAAGTAAGTATAAAGCTCAGTTCTTATAAACATTTTTAAAATTTATTTTATTTTAATTCTAATTTCCTTTTAATTTTTAAATTCAATTTAGTAAAAAAATTATATTGTTAAAATGAAAGATTTTGCAAATCGTATCTATATAGTGTAAAATGATAAGATTTTCGGTAAATTAAAAGTAAACAATTTAAATTAATAACTGTAGTAACTATAGTTCAGAATAGCATGGTTTTGCATTAAAATTAGCCTTAGCTGGTTGATGACCTTGTCATCTTAGTCGTCTGTGACCATGGAAACTGTAAAGAGCCCGAAGCGTTGGTTTGTTTCAATAAACAAATACACGTTTGTTTGTTTGAGTAAATAAATATTACCACTTTAAATAATTATAACTTTTTTATAACAAAACCTGCCCTCAAAAGTTTGTGGAATTTCATCTATTTGCCAAGTAATATTGAAATCGGTTAACGAAAAGTTAATGAAATCCAATAAACAGGATTCATCGTCTAATTTGCCAACCTTAGATGTTTCCTAAAAATTTGAATGGAACCGCTACTGAGGTGCCCCCTTTCTGACAAAAAATAATCATAGCAATCAGTTCACAAATGTCGGAGTACAGAAAAAAATATACCCGCGAATTGAGAACCTAATCGTCCTCTCTGTAGAATTCCTTGTACATTTATTATCATACAAATTGAGTAATTTCATTAAAAGAACTGTTTGAACATATGTATATCGAAGTACCTGTTTCATATGAAATAGTACGAATGAAATACTTCATTAGAATCCCAAAACAGAAGATTAATATCAATTATACATCCCCATCTCATTATTCTAGTGTTGCGCAGTAATTTAATTTCAGTATCCTCGTTGACCTCTATAATCAGATAAAGTAAGTCGTTATCAGGCCTCCCAAATGGAATGAAATCCGGGTTCCCATAACTAAACACAGATTTATCACCCTTAAACGAATTATTCGAGAACTGATTCAGTGTACTAGACAGAGGGAGAGCTTAGTTGGTATTCCACTCATGAACTCCCCTAGCAAATGTTGTGAACAATTTTACGTTACGCTTCAATTCGTCGAGAAGGTAAATTGTTCAGATATTTTCCTCTATAGTGAAGAAATGGCAAAGCATAGATTACAGACATTACATATTTGCGAGTACAAATTCATAATGCAAGTTGGGTAGCGCAATGCAAATTGGAATAGAAAATATCGTTATATTTTCCGTTCCAATTTTAATATTGTCTAAACAGGAGCGAACCACGGCTCTGGGCCACGGAGGGAAAGTACTTTGAATACTGTGTAGTAATATTACGTTCAAAGACTTTTAAAAACTTTCTTGCCTTTTTTTAAATGTATTGTGTACGTGTATAATATATTTTAATGTATTGTGTACGTGTAAATTATAAGTAACATAGTATTTTAATTTTAAGGAACACCGTTCAATTATGAAACTGCCAATGTATTTACAATGTCGCCTCCCAGAGATAGACGCATTCAAATACTACATTATTATAATTTTTATATTTTATTTATATTATATTTTTATCTCGCACTTTTAATAAACTGTGTAAAGAAGTAGTGGTTCCTTAAGTGGATACTTATTATAATCAAAGCTATCTAAGAAATGATAATGCCGATATTTATAGAAGTACGAATATCGACAGTAAAACATATTATAATTCATTGTCCTAAAGTAAAATGCAAAATTTAATGGCATTCCTTTAATTTATGATGGTTTTACTTAAAATAAATTAATACTCATGATTACTATTACCCATATACGACTTTATCGATCGTCATTTTATCGGTTCTATTCCGAGATGAGTCAGGCAACTTTAAAGTCTTTGAATTACTTACTTTTAAAAATGAAATAATGTTTATATGAAGTAAAATAGCCTATCTACAATATTTAAAACAGTTTAGCTCCATGTCCCATAGCTATGAAACGCCCTGTATATATTATACCTTTTATTATGATACCAAAAGACGGGACGAACAAGTCGTGTGCCTGGTGGTAAACAACACGCCTGTCCATAGCAGTTGCAATGCCACTCAGAGATGTAAAACGCAAATCTGAAGACCACTGCCACTGCGTCTGTCACGTTGGGACATAAGTTGACAAATCCCATGTGTCTGTAATTTCACCAGTACCCGCACCCTTGAAAACCGGAACGCTGTACTACTAAATACTCTCATTACTGCTTGGCGGTAGAAATAAGTAAGGTACTTACTTAGTACTGTCACACTTCTCTGGTGAACTTCTTTCACAAGGAGCTCTACTGCTACTAATATTTATACGTAAGAGCGATCGAGAGAGTAGAAATCCCTGTGGTGGGTTGTACCCATGTGCCTGAATGTTAAGTAGCAATTCCTCTTACTTACGGTGAGGAAAATATCGTGATGAAACCTGCATGTCGAAAAAGGTTTACACTTAGTAAACGTGTGAGTAGGTAGTCTAAATCTTTTCCTTACAGGATAGATACCAAGTGCTAAGCAGTGAGACGAATTTTCTAACGATAATATGCGTGGTAAATAATTATTGAGAAAAGTGTCAGCTTAAAGGTAAAGGACATCGACATGTAAAATGTAAAATAAGTTAAATTTTATGTTTCCTCGAAGTTTATACTTGGACAGTTACATTCTTAAAGCAGCTTTTATGTGGCGACGCGCAGTATTCCATTCCTCAATGACAACATTGCACATTGTGACGACCCACGCTTAGGATCAAAGAGATTCCAAACACGTAGCTTTTTATCACCTATTTTGTAGTGTATGGTAATTTTACTTTTTTTTTCGGTTTCAATGACTTTTTCCAAAACTTAATAAATTTACCAAAAATATGCTTTTATGTTTTTGTTGTACTGTCTGACGCTTTTTAGATCGTATTTGGTAGTAAGGTAGGAAGTTCAAAAGTGCAAGAATCCTACCCAATAACCCGTACAGAGTTGTCACTGTTTACAACGATCTATTTAACTATTTTTATTTTTGTACGAAGTAAATATAGCTTATACTAAATTAGTATCATATGCAAAAAAGTTAACACAATCTCTTTCGTAAAACAATAATAGAGGAGCTCATTAAAAGATATGATTAATAAAGGGTCATAAATCGC